CAGCAGCTGTTAGTTGGGAAGTTTAGACACTTGGATGCTCATTTACACCAGAAGTGAAATCCTACTGCCTGTGGTGATCCCCTTCATTCCTTCTGCAACAACTCACGTCTCAGTCTGAGCTGAAAAGATAATTTTAGAGGCCGTCTGTCATCATTATCGTTCCTTTATCTCTGTGTGCATGTTTTCTGTTAAGTTTGTCATTAAATAAGTTTTCACTTAAATATTTTTCTGCAGCCAAGTTTTAAACAAATATAAACATAAAAGCAGAAAAATTCTCTTATTTCCCTGAGGCTGTGTTTTCACAGCCCGGCGTAGAAATGAGTGGTTAAAAGCATAAAAGATGGACGTAGCCACCATCATGTTACCCTTTGGGTTTTGCAGCAAGCTGCAGCTACAGACTGTATGGGTGCATCTCACACAGACACCGGCTAATTAGTGCAACAAAACAGAACCACAAACTTCTTGCAGGAGCCGTACTGTAGAGTAGAATAGAAAGCCTTTATCGCCATTGTACATAACACATATCCAAGATTTGGTGAAATATTCTGTACAGTGCAAAAACATTGAAGTAGAAAAATGAAAAACAACTACGTAAAGAATAAAGGCTGCTATAAAGAAGACACACACACAATAAAGATTCACTATTCACTGTTGAACTTCAAATTAGTTGCTAAATAATCATTTGTTTTGTTCATTTATACGAGCTCAAATTTGTGGTAGCCCAGGGGAAAAAACTGAGTTTGTTTACCCGGCGCTTGGTGCACCTGTGCTGCAGGGCAGGAGGTTGAACAGTTAGATGTCCAGGGTGAAAAGGGTCTTAAATTATTTTCCTCGCCCCGCTGAGACACAAAGATCTGGAGATGTCCTCCAGGGAGGGCAATGTGCAGCCGGTGGTTCTCTGGGAAGTGTTGATGGACGTCTGCACTGAGCAGGTCCCACACTGCGATGCATTCACTGCATGTTCAGTTGTTATGAAGGTGGAAAATATTCATAGAGGCCCAAAAGGGATTTTGCACCAGGCTGTAAACATGCCTTTCAATGCTGTAAAGTTGTGCATTTTAACATGCGAGTCTGTGCATTAACACACCTTCAGAACGAGTCAGTCAACTGTATGGAGCAACAACTGTCGCTCGCTCATGAAAACTGACTCGCCTTCAATTTACTGAGCGATAAAATGACACGATGAAGCATCAGCGTAGCATCAGTCATATGTTCAGTGGAGACTCTGTAGCATGGTGTCTGGCCACACTGGCTTTATGTAGTG